GTATATATGTGTGAATGTATATGTGTGCATGTATGTGTGTATGTATCTATGTATATATGAACATATTTACATATACATATATATGGTTTTAGATATGTACATACATACTTTTACATACAGTGTATATATATTTATATACATTACTCTTATACACAATATATATACATATATACTACATATATATGTATATATGCATATACATATTTATGTATGTGCATATGTATAGGTATACATATGCAAATATACGTATACAGTACATATGAATACACATAAATTTGTGTGGGAAACTATATACATACATGAGTATATATGAAAGGAAAACTGCCACAGTAAGAAATGAAAGTGAATTGTAACGTTTCGAACTCTTCACGAGTTTCTCTTCAGACGAATGATATATCAAAAATGGATCATGAGTATTTATGTGTATATATTTCTGTGTGTATGTACATATGTACAGTTTGTACATGCATACATATATATGAAAATATGTGTGCTTGTTTCTTTGCGTGTGTGCATGTATAGGGATATACGTACACACATTATTATCATTAGATACCGATTATGGTGGATGCTGGACGGTTTCAAAGATAAACAGAAAATGCTTCACCATTAACAGAAACCAGGAAGTATTCGATCAAAGCAGACAGAAAAATAAATTCATATCAGATATGGTTCTGGAAATAATCAGAACAATAAAGCACAAAAACTACATTAAGCAACTGAGGTCCATCGGCAGGTGAGGGTATATATACGTGGGACAAACGCAGGTAGGCATGCACACTCTCCCTCACCCACACGGGAACATCACATCACCCTTATCTCTCTCTCCAGGTAGGTGACTAGATATATGCACTGCATAGTATCTTTGGAATACTCGAAATTGTTTGTATATCATTCCTTTGTTCGGTACTTTTAGAGTTGATGAAGGTTGTGTACAAAGTGAATGTTTAGTCGTTTAAGAATCCTTTTTATTTGATCTGTTTATAAATGCTCCAATGTTTCCCTTTTCAGAAATCAAATCCGAGACTATGGCAAGTGTTCGGTCCATTGCTGTGCTTGTGTTGGTGGCTTTGTCCCTGGCTGCGGTGTGCGATTCCCTGGTGCTGTGTCGGCAGTTTCCTAGCTGCTGCTCGACCAACTCGTGTCACGCGCTGTGCCCCTCGTGTCGGGAAGCCAAGTTCTTCACCAATGGCGTGAGGAACAAGCCTAGTGGACGTGTTCCCAAAATCAGCTTCATCAACGGAGATCCCTTTGCCAACCCCACTGGCGGCGTATTCCCCGACCCTCTGATCTTTGTGTAATGGTTGAGCTCTCCTTTAAGTTTGCCACTGGACAGCCAGTTGAGGCCGAACTTCATTTCGCTGAGTGCATCGTCAGCCAGTTGAAGCCGGCTTTCTTTTCGCTGTCGCAGTGGTTGGCTCAGCCAGTTGAACTGCATGTTCATTTCGCTGATGTCACACAAGGTGTAGCATTTAGTCAGTTCATGAGATTTGGTGCAAGAGTCTCATCTAGTCCCCGAGGACTTCCCTTTCGGAGGTCCTCAAGCCAAAAACGTCGTGGGTCTCAATGTGTGAGAAGAGATAGGAACAGTGAGAGAAGAGTCTTTCCAGATTGTCTCTCTTGGGTGAATGTCATGCACACTGATCCATACAGGTGAAGTGGCGAGACGTGGCAAGTCGAAAGGGCCAACAGAAAAGTTTGTTAAGACTGTCTGTTGGCGCCAAGATGCCCACGTGGTATGGCTTTGTACCCAGTGGTGTTCCAAGCCAGAAGAATCCCCGGATTGCCTTCTGGTGTGATTGTTCCCGTACATCGTGTCTCTGACGGTGTATTTTGCCAAAGAGAAGTGTTTTGTGTGGTGTGTGGATTGTGAATGTATTTATCAGATGTGGTTCGCCATGTCTCCTCTATTCTGCCTTTTGTATGTTTTATAAATAAACAAAATCTCAATTCACGGAACTTTTATACTAACCTGATTATGTTGATTTTTATCGATCAACATTTTGTCTTTGTAAGGCACATGGTATGTGCCATATAAGATTCTATGTGGATAAATGACAAGATATTAGGCCTTTCCTCCTACAAGGCTATAGTATGCACATGCAACTAAAATAAATTGCAAACTTCATAAAATGTTACTGTATTGGCAGTTATTCATTAATCTTATTACAACAATCTTATCAATTTAGCTGCAAATAATACCAACCACAAGTTTTCCAGCTATAAAATGTAACTGGTGATATACATTGCAATATTCACTTTCTCTTGTATCATATAAAATGAACGTCTGGTAGATGTGAGACTAGAAATGTTAAGTAATAGTTTTCCAAGCTGTCTTTTTATAGCCAGAGAACCTATTGAAATTCTGATGTAGCTATTTTTTTTACCTTTTTAGGGGAATGGGTCATTAGCCACCTACGTATGTTTTGTACAAAGGAAATATAAAAAACAAAAAGGCAAAACAAGGAAAAAAGAGATTTGCGATCAGTGAAATACATTGTGAAAAAAGGGAAAATAAAATGCAAAAAAAGAGAATCAGTTGCAGAGATGATTTGGACCCAACAAGCATCTGTTATATATATTGTTATTGTATTTAATGCGAGCTGTTATTAGCTATCACTGAGAATGTTAGAGAAATAAAACAAATATGTGATGAGTTCTGTAGACCACGAATCGATATAAGTATAAATAGATAAATGAAATAAATATGTATGTATATATATACATATGTATATGTATTTTTTTAATAGCCATTCATTCAACTGCAGGACATAAACCTTTCTCAATTCACTATTGAGAGGTTATTTGGCAGTGCCAGCCTAGCCCTTCCTAATCAACAGCGGTTCGGCGCGTTAACACTTGTGCCACGGCGGCGATTTCCCCTGCGGCACCTGCGTTTGACTTCTCAAGGCGATATGACGTTTTCTCACCTTGAGATCGGGCTCAAGGCAGCAGTCGAAGCACAGGCACTTTTACGACCGCCGCGACGGGGAATTGAACTCGGAACCACGAGGGTCGAAGTCCAGTGATTTTATCACTGGACTATCGCGGCAGTATATGTATGCATTAATATTTATACATATATGAATATATATGTAACTATATGCATGTACATATACTAAATACATCTGTATGCGTCTGCACACATATATGTAAGTTTATATATACATATATACATATATATTTATACATATACATATATCTACATTTATATGGATAATACCTATATATGTGCATAGAGAATGCATATGTGCTGTACATAATCTTGCAATAATATTCTCACTTCCTACGCAGTGGATTCAGAAACAGGTTAATGCGTCATGGTAATGGACCGAAGTAACGACTGTTTCAAATCCATGAAAAACTGTGAGATGGATATTTTGTTTAACAGTTTCTGTACTTATCTTTTTTACGTGTTGTGAATGTAAATACCCATACACATTGTCATGACCATAAATCCTCATAACTTATTCATCCATAACTTTTTAATTGTCAGTATCTGTGCATTTGTACGTGTATGTATGTATATACTTATCTTTGAGTTTATGTACATGTTTGTCTGCTTACATATTCATGCTTATATGGACGCATTTTTAAGATTTTGTTTATCTCTAGTTCCTAATCATACATACATATACTCGCGGACACACAAATACATTCATATATATATTTAAGTATTTATACATATGTATACATACATATATATAGAGAAATAAAATGAGAAAGTAAATATTTATATACATACAAACATATATATCCGTAAATCCATATCTATATATGCATCCACACATATATACATATACATATGTATACATACATATATGTATGTAATGTATACAGTATATATAAATATATATATACATACATGTATTTGCATATATAAATATGCATATATATATATACATATACATATATATATATAGGTGTTATATGTGCATATATATATATGTGTGTATGCATGTTTATATATATGTATATATATATGCATATATATGTGTGTATACTTATGTTTATATATATATGTTATATACACATATATATGCGTATTTGTGTGTATGCATGTATACATTTGCATAGATAAATATATACACATATAAATATACATACGTACATATATATGTATATATATACACATCTGTACATACATACATACGAACAAATATATTCATGTGCATGTATTTTTATAATTATGTGTATATATATGTATATATATATAAATGTGTATATGTATATATGTGTGAATGTATATGTGTGCATGTATGTGTGTATGTATCTATGTATATATGAACATATTTACATATACATATATATGGTTTTAGATATGTACATACATACTTTTACATACAGTGTATATATATTTATATACATTACTCTTATACACAATATATATACATATATACTACATATATATGTATATATGCATATACATATTTATGTATGTGCATATGTATAGGTATACATATGCAAATATACGTATACAGTACATATGAATACACATAAATTTGTGTGGGAAACTATATACATACATGAGTATACATGAAAGGAAAACTGCCACAGTAAGAAATGAAAGTGAATTGTAACGTTTCGAACTCTTCACGAGTTTCTCTTCAGACGAATGATATACCAAAAATGGATCATGAGTATTTATGTGTATATATTTCTGTGTGTATGTACGTATGTACAGTTTGTACATGCATACATATATATGAAAATATGTGTGCTTGTTTCTTTGCGTGTGTGCATGTATAGGGATATACGTACACACATTATTATCATTAGATACCGATTATGGTGGATGCTGGACGGTTTCAAAGATAAACAGAAAATGCTTCACCATTAACAGAAACCAGGAAGTATTCGATCAAAGCAGACAGAAAAATAAATTCATATCAGATATGGTTCTGGAAATAATCAGAACAATAAAGCACAAAAACTACATTAAGCAACTGAGGTCCATCGGCAGGTGAGGGTATATATACGTGGGACAAACGCAGGTAGGCATGCACACTCTCCCTCACCCACACGGGAACATCACATCACCCTTATCTCTCTCTCCAGGTAGGTGATTAGATATATGCACTGCATAGTACCTTTGGAATACTCGAAATTGTCTGTATATCATTCCTTTGTTCGGTACTTTTAGAGTTGATGAAGGTTGTGTACAAAGTGAATGTTTAGTCGTTTAAGAATCCTTTTTATTTGATCTGTTTATAAATGCTCCAATGTTTCCCTTTTCAGAAATCAAATCCGAGACGATGGCAAGTGTTCGGTCCATTGCTGTGCTTGTGTTGGTGGCTTTGTCCCTGGCTGCGGTGTGCGATTCCCTGGTGCTGTGTCGGCAGTTTCCTAGCTGCTGCGCGACCAACTCGTGTCACGCGCTGTGCCCCTCGTGTCGGGAAGCCAAGTTCTTCACCAATGGCGTGAGGAACAAGCCTAGTGGACGTGTTCCCAAAATCAGCTTCATCAACGGAGATCCCTTTGCCAACCCCACTGGCGGCGTATTCCCCGACCCTCTGATCTTTGTGTAATGGTTCAGCTCTCCTTTAAGTTTGCCTCTGGACAGCCAGTTGAGGTCGAGCTTCATTTCGCTGAGTGCATCGTCAGCCAGTTGAAGCCGTCTTTCTTTTCGCTGTCGCAGTGGTTGGCTCAGCCAGTTGAACTGCATGTTCATTTCGCTGATGTCACACAAGGTGTAGCATTTAGTCAGTTCATGAGATTTGGTGCAAGAGTCTCATCTAGTCCCCGAGGACTTCCCTTTCGGAGGTCTTCAAGCCAAAAACGTCGTGGGTCTCAATGTGTGAGAAGAGATAGGAACAGTGAGAGAAGAGTCTTTCCAGATTGTCTCTCTTGGGTGAATGTCACGCACACTGATCCATGCAGGTGAAGTGGCGAGATGTGGCTTGTCGAAAAGGCCAACAGAAAAGTCTGTTAAGACTGTCTGTTGGTGGAACGATGCCCACGTGGTATGGCTTTGTGCCCAGTGGTGTTCCAAGCCAGAAGAGGAATCCCCGGATTGCCTTCTGGTGTGATTGTTCCCGTACATCGTGTCTCTGACGGTGTATTTTGCCAAAGAGAAGTGTTTTGTGTGGTGTGTGGATTGTGAATGTATTTATATCAGATGTGGTTCGCCATGTCTCATCTATTCTGCTTTTGTATGTTTCATAAATAAACAAAATGTCGATTCACGAAACGCATATATATACACCTTTTATAGGATTCTATAGAGTTGCTTATCTTCCTTTCCTCTAAGACGTATGTAGAATATAAAGATCATTTGTTTAGATGCAAAGAGCGATTAAGCAAAATTCAGAAAGTTCATATACATCTACTAATACAATTATTTACATCGTTTACAGCAGATTATATTAGTTATATTGGGAGTCTATCACGTTAAACGTATGTTGCAGAATATTAAACAAATCTGTTAGGTTGTGGAAATAGAGAAAAAAAAGAGAAACAGTTGCATATAGAGTTGGTATCAACCATACCATCGAAACTCCTTGCTTTGAATGACAGCATGGTACACTTATATTTATGAATCTTAATGTACTGTAGATCATTGCTAGAAAAAGTAAGACAACGCTTAGATTTATACAAGGAAAGGGAAATACTCTTTGTGCATTGATTATGACTTACTGATTGATGTTGAAATGGAAATTAAGTCATTTGACTTTATCAGCTTATATTAACTATTCCGGTAAAGCTCT